GTTTCAATAAATTGCATATACACAGAGTCCACCAAAAAATGTATACACACTTCAGAAAATGAAAAACTTAGGGGCCGGGGATTTGGCTCAGTGGTTCTGCCATCTGTCTCGCAAGTGTAAGGACCCAAGTTCAATCCCCAGTACCAAAAAAAAAAAAAAAAAAAAAAGAAAAAAAAAAAAAAAAAAAGAAAAAAGAAAAAGAAAGAAAATGAAAAACCTGTATAAATATTTTAATGCTAAATTTATTCAGACATCATGACATTAATACAAGTTACTTTTGGATTCTACAACTACAAGAGGTGCTCAAAGTGGTGGCCATTACTTTCCAGACATTTATTAGCATGGTGGACTGCTGCTTGGTCAAGCTTGGTCATTGAGATTACTGCACGTGCACTTTCAATTTCTTCAGTAAGGGCCAGCAGTGTTGTGGATTTTTTGCAATATACAACATCCTCTAGGATTCCCCATATGAGGGTAACACACATCTGTTGAGAAAACATACTGTTTTTCTTTGCCTGAAGTGTGTATTCATTTTTTGGTGGACTCTTTATATATGTATCTGATTTGGGCATGTTTTACTGTATACATAGTTGAAGACATGTTACTGCACTAATATGCATAGTTCTTCATGTCTTTATCAGCTAATAAAATAGTGTGGATTTAATGGTTTTTGTTTGTTTTGGTACCGGGAACGAACTCTGGCCCTTATGCTTGTGAGGCAGGTGGTGGAATCACTGAGCTAAATCCCCAGCCCCACTTAATAGTTTTTGATTTACAGATTTATGCAGCCATTATCAGTTGGCTTTAGAACATTTTTATCCCTGCCCCCAAATTTCCATGCCCGTTCGCCATCATTTCCTGCTCCTCCTCCTCCAGCCTTTGCCCACCACACATCTTCCTCTGCACACTTCCTGTCCAAGCCAGCAGCTGGCATCTCCTCAAACAGGAGGCACAGACAGGAACTCCTCTGGCTTAGGTCCATGTCTTACTTTCCTGTCACTGAGACACGGTACCCAGCACTCACAACTTAAGAGGAGGAAAGGTTTGTTTGGCTCACAGTCTGTAGAAGCTTCAGTCCACAGTCAGGTGGTTCCAAGGCGGGACAACATGCAGAGGAGAAGCAGTTCATGACATGGCAGCAGGCAGTGGGCTGAGGGGACGGTAAATCCTTCTAGGCCACAACTCCAGTGACCCACCTCTTCTGATCAGATCCCACCTCCTGACAGCAAGTCAGCTATAAACTCATCAGTTGACTAATCTACTGATGATTATCATACCCCCAGATCCAGTCACCTTCCAAAAGCCTCACCTTGGAGCACATGAGACTTTGGGGGAGACATCAGATATTAACTATAATAATCCTGTGCCCCTTTTCTGGCCTTGCGGCACCCTGTGCCACAAGCCTTGGCTTGGATTTTGCTCCCTCTCTGCTTTCTTTCCTCACACAGGTGCACAAAGAATCTAGGTTTATTGAGAAGGCAGGTTCACACTGAGGGATCAGGCAGTAGACTGAGCCCACAGCATTTTTCATGTATCCAATTCCAGGGCTCCTGACCAGGCTGATCAAAAGACTCTTGAGTGTACATTCCAGTCATCTCACCCAGACCCTCACCCTAGAGAAAGCCCTAAAGTTGAGAAGGCAAGAATCCTAGAAGCCTGCTCACTGACCAGCCTGCCTGAAACTAATGTGTGTCTTGTGCAAATAAGAAGTGAACAGAAGTAGGAAGGAACTCGAGGTTAAAACTGTAGACTTAGGAACCCCAGGGTAAAATGCAAGTCTTTGCAGACATCCAAGCAGAATCTGTTGCTACTTAGTACTAAATGGTTAGAAAAAGAAATAAAATAAAAAGCAAGCTTGGAATTTGCTTCTAGTTTTGGCCCCTCCATGAAGCAGTTGTGTGGATCTTGGAAAGTCATTGCGTATCTCTGAGGCTATTTTTCACATCCCAGGTAAGGGAGCTGGGTGGATTGATTTTTTTATGTACCTCTCGAGTACACAGGGTACAAATAGGTGGGTAGGAGGCCCCCTCCTAAGCTTATTTTCCAGATGAAACCTCATGTTGGGACTGCCTGGTCTGAGGTTGGATACAACATGATTTTACACAGTTGTCATTTCGTCCTTCCCTTAGTGCAGGGAACTGGCATGTGTCTAAACTGAAGGTTCATGTTAGGCCAGCACTACAGTATTTCACCTATTACTATGCTGGGGATCCACTCCTTGCTTATGATAAGCAAGAGTATCACTGAACTACACTCCAGCTCAGGCCAATATGCTTTTAATTCTATTCTATATATGTCAAAAGCAAAATTATTATACCCAACCAAAATAGATTGTCTAAAAAAGTTGTGACTAACCCCACTGTGAAGGTACCAGTGGGACATTATTTTCCTAGACTTTATTCCAATAAAAAAGGCCATTGTTGAGGCTTATTTACTGGGGATTGAACTGAGGACCTTCACACTGGCTGTATCCTTAGCCAGTTATTGTTTGTTTAATTTTGAGACAGGGTCTTGCTGTCTCAAAGTTGCCCATGCTGGGCTCCAACTTGCAGTCCTCCTGTCTCAGCCTCCCAGAGTGCTGAGATTACAGGTCTGTGCCACCTGACTTTTTTTATATGGTTGTTACCACTGTTGTGTCATCCTAACAACATCCGTAGTAGTTGTAAGTGTTCACTAGGGAGATTTTTGCTATGCTAAAAGCCCTAATGATTTTAGATTTAAAGGACTTCTTGCTGAGGTAAACCACTCTGTGTGGGTAGAAGAAAAATGTGAATGACTTAGCTAAGGTGCCTAAAGAGCAGGAAGTGTTTAGTCTAACAGTAAGGTGTGTGTGAAGAAAGATGAAGTAGGAATGCATTCTGCCTCTGAAGACTCCATCAGTCTTCAGTGTATTATTTTTTAAATTTCCTAAAATGAATCAAAATAGACACGTGATGATGAGGTGACAGCATGTTGGTTACAGGATGCAAGACAGCCTCTAAGCTTGGTGGAAATTCAAAGGTGTATCAGACATAATTCTTTTAAGTGTAGAGTTGAGGTAGAAAACGTGGATGATGAATAACTAGAGTAAAAAATAGGGGCTGGAGATTTAGCTCAGTGGTCCCGCCGCCTGCCTCTCAAGCACAAGGTCTCAAGTTCGATCCCTGGTAAAAAAACAAAAACAAAAACAAAACCCACAGAAATAAGTAAAAAATGGAATTTTACCTAAGGAATTAATTCTGCTTCTAAATGTCTCTCAAGTCCATCTTCTCTCTCATCGCCACTACTCTGATCTCTTTAACTGTTCTCTACATTGTCTTCTACAGCCTATATTTTCTACATTTTAGCCACTCTGATTTTTCTAGAATGCATATTTAACTTTGTTTTGTTCCTTTTTGGTTCTCGCTCTTGCTCTCTCACACATGTATACTTTGTGCTACCTCATGACCACCCTCAATATTGACATCTAGCCTAACAGTGACACTCTCTTACATGACCACAGTGACCGTATTTTAACTGTCTCTTGTGTGGGACCTGACTTATTAATTTGGGAAACTTTCAGGATCTTTTCTTGGTTTTCAGTACATTGCAATTTCTCAATATGTACTTTGGTAGATATGCTTTCTTATTCATTAGGTGGGCCTTTTTTCAGAAAATTGGGAAACATATTGCTTTTTAGTGGTGTTTATGAAATTATTTTGATAATTTCTTCAACTCTTTCTAGAACTTCATTATTCAGATGTTGTCCCTCCCAGACATATCCTAATTTTTTTTTTCCTCAAGATTATCTCTAAACTTTTCATTGTGCTGCTGTTACATGTCTTTCAAAGAGCCTTTCTTCAACTTTTTTATTTTGACACTGGGGATCGGACTTCCGAGGCAGGCGTTGGAACTACTGAGCTAAATCCCCAGCCCCTTCAACTTTTTTTTTAAATAGCATCATGTTTATGGATTCAGTATCTCCTCATCTCTGTGAGGACAATGAGGATGATAACCTTTTTAAAATTTTCATTACTGGCCATTTGTTTCCTGTAAGTTCCTTTTTAAAATATCTTCTTTATTATTTAGATACATCTTGCATGGAAAAGTAGGATATTAAGAAACTGATGAATTCTGCCCTGGACTTGACTGGTACCTACCTGTAGAGTGATGTTAGGGGGTTTCTGGGATCAGCCACTGGGCTCTTGGGCCATTCAGATTCTCTAAAGAAGACTGTCCTCTGCTAGCTGGCGTCAGTTTGGCTTCATTTCCTCTTCCCATTTTCAGTGTGGTTTCTGACATGATCAGCTTTGCTTCATAGCCCACATTTGAGTTTTTCTTTCACCTTTTCTAAGAATGAGCATCTCACTTTCTGAAAGAGACTTTCAACCAGCTCTTCTCCTCTCAGCCTCACCTCACCTGAGAAGGGCTCAGCACACCAGTGCCTGAGCTCCAAGGGCACACAGGTGCACAACAGGTGGGTCATTGGCTGTCTCGGCTACTGACTGAAAATTCACCTTTCTTGGGTCTTCTTCACTACCTGTCCTTCTGCTCTGTCAGCTTCCCTTATTTTGTCTTTATCATCTCTTTTCCTGTTACTTTTGTCTTTGTGATTTATATCTATTTAAAAATTAAATCCTTTTACTATCTTAGTAGGGTTTCTTCAGAAGTCTCCCTTGTTAATAGAGAAAAAGAAGTACGTCTGACAGCAGTGAGTTGAAAATAGCTTTCCCAAGGAGCTGCTGAAGGAGTGTTGCTCTATCGTGTTGACTCATAGGAACAAGCTAGACCCCACAGTAGGGTCTAAGATCCTGGGTCTTTTACACTTTTTTGACAGTATTTTTGTCCGTGCAGGTGAAATAGTGAGGACCATAATACATGCAGATAATACACGTCAGTGGGGTAATGCACATGGCAGGGAATGGCCAGAGTGCAGTGACTTTTCTGCTCTGGGCCAGATATTACCCCTACTTTGTTAAGTTGTTTTCTCTTCAGAGACAGCACTGTTTATCTCCGTTCCCAACCCCAAACCTATCTTACAGGACGATGAAAGCCTCAAGTACCTCACACATGAGGAAAAAGACGTCATCCTGTTCTTTGAAGAGACTCTGGATTCCCTGGAAGATGACTTGGAGGAGCCAGTCCTGTGTGACAGTGGCATTCATTGCCAGTCTCCCCAGTCTCTGGAAGAGAGCCCATCCAGTCACTCTGAGCCAGAAGATGTCATCGATTTAGTGCAGCCTGGACCTGCAGTTGGGGAAGCGGAGTGCCTTCCAGATGCGTCTCAGATAGCAGGTGTGGGGTGAAGCACAGGTCCCGAACCTCTGTCCTGCTTTGCTGGTGTGTCCAAGACTCAGAGGCCCTTTCTGCTGTGTCCTCCTGTGTTTGCCAGTTGAGCAGCTCCTGGGCTTCCACAGAGAAAACAACTCTCTTGGTCATTTGATTGTCTGGCAAGGGGATTTGTAAGGACTAGGATAAAGAATTAGGTGTGTGCCCCGGTACCAAAAAAAAAAAAAGAATTACGGAGGGGGG